CAAAGAAAGAGAACTACAGGCCAATATCTTTGATGAACATAGATGCTAAAATTCTCAACAAGATCCTAGCAAACCAGATTCAACAACACATCTTAGAAATCATCCATCATGACCAAGTAGGCTTCATCCCTGGGATGCAAGGCTGGTTCAACATTTATAAAACCATAAATGTAATTAAATACATCAACAGATGTCAAAACAAAAACCACATGATTATATCATTAGATGCAGAAAAGGCTTTTGATAAAATCCAGCATTGCCTCTTGATAAAAACCCTCAAACAGCTAGGCATACAGAGAACATACCTCAAAATAGTAAAAGCCATCTACGAGAAACCCACAGCCAGCATACTCCTAAATGGACAAAAATTGGAACCATTTCCCCTGAAAACTGGAACCAGACAAAGATGCCCACTCTCACCCCTCCTGTTCAATATAGTATTGGAAGTCCTGTCTAGAGCAATCAGACAAGAGAAGGCAATCAGGGATATCCAAATAGGAAAAGAGGAAGTCAAGTTATCTCTCTTTGCAGATGACATGATCGTGTACCTTGAAAACTCAAGATAATCTGTCAAGAAACTTCTTATACTGATAAATGACTTTGCAAAGTCTCAGGATATAAAATAAATGTGTAAAAGGCAATCACATTTCTTTACACCAATAATAAACAAACAGAAACCCAAATAAAGAGCACAGTTCTATTCACAATAGCCACAAAAAAAATGAAATACCTTGGCATCTTCCTAACCAGAGACGTGAAAGACCTTTACAATGAAAACTACAAAAAACTCCTCAAAGAAATCAAAGATGACACAAACAAGTGGAAAAATATCCCATGCTCATGGATTAGGAGAATCAACATTGTGAAGATGTCCATCATACCTAAAGCAATCTACAGATTTAATGCAATACCCATCAAATTACCAGCAACATTCTTCTCAGACCTAGAAAAAACAATACAGGAATTCATATGGAAACACAAATGACCAAGAATAGCCAGAACAATCCTCAGCAAAAAAAAACAAAGCAGGCAGTATCAGATTACCAGACTTCAAACTTTACTATAAAGCTACAATAATCAAAACAGCTTGGTATTGGTACAAAAACAGGCATATAGACCAATGGAATAGAATTGAGATTCTAGAAACTAAACCTCAATTTCTCAACCAACTCATCTTTGACAAAGCCTCTACCACCTACCACTGGGGAGTACCTATTCAGTAAATGGTGCTGGGAAAACTGGCTGACCACATGCAGAAGACTCAAACAAGACCCCTATCTGACCCCATACACAAAAATTAACTCCAAATGGATCAGAGACCTAAATGTAAAACCTCAAACCATAAGAACCTTAGAAAATGAAGGACACACCCTTATGGAAATTGGAACTGGCATCCAATTCCTGAACAAAACCTGAAATCCTCAGGCCATAAAAGATAAGATAGACAAGTGGGACCTCATTAAACTGACAAGCTTCTGCAAAGCCAAAGAAACCATCAAGAGAGCAGGGAGTCAGCCTACAGACTGGGAAAAAGTATTTGCGAACCCCATGTCTGACAAAAGCTTAACATCTTGGATCTACAAGGAACTCAAACATGCTAAAAAGAAAAAAACAAACAACCCCATTATAAAATGGGCAAAAGATATGAACAGACACGTCTCACAGGAAGACATTCAAGCAGCCAACAGACACATGAAGAAATGTTCAACCTCACTAATCATCAAGGAGATGCAAATCAAAACCACACTGAGATACCACTTAACTCCGGTCAGAATGTCAATTATCAACAACTCAAAAAATAGCAGTTGCTGGAGTGGGTGTGGTGAAAAGGGAACACTCCTACACTGTTGGTGGGAGTGCAACCTGGTGCAACCTCTGTGGAAAACAGTGTGGTGATTCCTAAAAGCTCTAAATATCAACCTCCCACATGACCTCACAATCCCCCTACTGGGAATATACCCTGAAGAACTCAAATCACTCTATCAAAAAGAT